TTCTCGAGAGAGTCGAAGGCAGTCGATTCAAAAGTAGCCCAGCTGCGTGGCGAATCTCCTGGTCGCGTGGTCGACCACGCCAACATTTCTTCCCCCTAGCGATCATGCGTCGTCACGTAGAAAATTAAAGCCAACGATCGGTACGGATTCGCCTGAAATTGTCAGTCGTTGCTCGCTGTAGGGAAATATGAAGTCAGTTGCGGTTCTTCGAAATTCCTTTCCCTCGTGTTCCCCTAACTCCCTTGCGTTTCCCTCGCGACAGACCGAAGTAGCAAGCCATTTCTGGACTATATCGGAAATATCTATTTCATACTCGGCGTTTCAAGCAGCAGCTTAATCCATCGTACAATATATTAGATTTACGTGTAGATTGAAGTAAGCTCGGCTGACCCAAAATCGCGAGGAATTACTGCGCAAGAGGAAATACATACACGCCTCGAAATATCGAATGTCAGTGAAAAATAGAAGAAGAAGAGAATATATATTTCGCCGGTAAGAGGATGACGGAGAATATATAGGATATAGTTTGGTCGGAGGCAAAGCCTAGTAGAATGTTTGAGGGTGGCGGTATTTCGAATTGGCAGAAGGGTACCACGGGACTCGAGAGAGAGAGGGAGAGAGAGAGAGAGAGAGAGAGAGGTGGGTGTGGGCGAGAGAGATTTTGTAGGGTGGTGGTGTGGAAGCGGAGAGCGGAGAGCGAAGGCAGAAGAGGGTTGCGCGCGATGCGCGAGAGATGAGCGAACGAGAAAGCGAGCAGCTGACGAGCGGACGATATATAGGTACACACCTAGAAATACGTGTATATACGTATGTATATAGGCGTAAGGGCAAATATATAGGTACACGTAGCGTACGGAGGGACGGACACGGGAAGAGGGAAAGGGAAATGGCAGGAAGGTATCGGGAGAGGGATGGAAAGAGGCGAGGGTTCGGTGCGCGGAGGCGGAAAGTAATCGCGGCTCACCGGGAGCCGTCAACGTCGTCGACGACGACGACGACGACGACGACGACGACCAGAGAAGAGGACCTCTCTCTGTACAGGATATTTCAGAAAACTGGTGCCCAAACTCGAGAGGCGTGTAATGTAAAAGTCTTGATAAACAGAGGTATCTGGGCCTTGAACTTTCTCAGTTTGTGAAATATAATTGACCTTTACTCTTTAGGCTCGTCAAGAACGAGAAAATGATTCGAATAATTCTATACAGTGGTTTTGCACTGAAAATTAACCCCCATTGCAAACGAATTTGTTTTCTCTCGAGCAATTTCTCTAATGAAAATAAAGTCCAAAATTGTTGTTTCGATATAAAAATTGTATTGCGTCGTATGTAACGATACTTGATATAAAATTAACAGAAAATACTTATTCAACGCTAAAATTATTTGTATATGTATTTAGGTTGCGCGGGGTAGTTTTATATATACATTTATGCAATAATTAGCTGCAACACGATGATCTTGCACGTGATTTAATTTTTGAAAAGACTTCTTCATCGCAATGACGTGAATTTTATTTGCCGATAGGTGAACACGATCTGCGAAAAGATCAACTTACAGTCCAAAAAGGTATGAACATAATCTGTAAATTTGGCGTGAGAAAACCTGTAAATCACTCGAAAACTGTTCATGACCGAATTACCAAGACAAACTACGCAAATTACTTTTCGCTCTGTTTAGATCTGTGCTCGTTAAGATCTTTCGTACAATGCAACGTGCCTGCTGAAGTTTGACACCAACTCCTCTGAAACAGCCTGTATAGACACACGTAGTAGTAGTAGCAGGCGACGCGATATCACTATGATCGAGCGTGAAGACTAGGCGGACTAAGTCTTTGCTCTTCCTCGCCTCTCTACGTCTCACTTTCTGTCTCGTTCTTGGTTCGTGGCCCTGGTCGACTGTCTCTAGGAATCCCGAGAACGTTAGTCCGCGTCGTTCGTCGCGAAATCACTGGAAACGATACTGAGACGGGACACGGTCCTTAATTGGATCGTTCTGCACGAGGCAAACGGCGGAAAGTTCGAACCCTCTTCTCTCTCTCTCTCTCTCTTCACCCTTTTTTCCTCTACTGAGTTTTCTTCTCCTCGCGCGAGCAGCAGCCACTCGCTTCTCGCCAAATTAGCTAGCCAGGTCCAGCAGCAGAAGAAGAAAGTTTCAGAATGTGAGGAAAAGTTGCTCTGGTTGCTTTTCTCTCTGGTTAGGCTGGGGATTTTTTTTCGGCGTTTGAGATCCGATCGAAACTCGATTTGTTGATTCGCGACTCGAACCCGGGCCCTTCGAACTCGGCCGAATATCTTTATATTTTTACAGAGACGTAATTTATGTTGTTTCGAACTGGTCACGTGAAACAAGAATTGTTGCCTCGTGTGTTTGCAGATACGGGTTCGTTGTTGTCGCATCAGCAGGAAACGACGTCAGATGGGAACTCGGAGCACAACTCGTCCGGCGACGAAGACTCGCAGGTTCGATTGAGGCTAAAACGGAAGTTGCAACGCAATCGAACGTCCTTCTCCAACGAACAGATCGACAGCCTCGAGAAAGGTTAGTATCTCATTGTTCGAGAACGTATCGAAGCATTTTTCGAATGTTTAGTGACACTTGAATGTTTCTAATACGTTGAGTGCCGATGTGATCGACAGAGTGATCCTCCTGTTCAGGCCCTCAGTGATCGACGAAGCAAATTTCATATATTAAAAATTGAAGAACTTTAAGATTACAGGAAAGATATTTATTGTGTAAACAGCATAATAATTTTAATGGGTTTTATTATAGCTTTCGTAGTCACGTTTCTTCCCAGTATTTTCTTCGATAATTTTCTCAGAAAATTTTCTAACTTGGCATGCTGGGATGTGTATAATCGTACTGTGATCTTGCATTCTGCTGTGTTATCGAAAAACTGTATCGAACGGAAAAGTAAACAAAGTACGCGCTTAACGCGTCAACTAGAATATAGATAAAAATCGTTAAATTTTATTTCTCAGAATAAAATCTCGATGCTGTAAAATTTAGCGAAAGAAAGAGAATTACGTCTCGAAGAATGCTTCGACAATTGTCTGTTAATTTCCTGTTAATTTTAAGATGGAATATACGCCACGCATACGGAATACACCGCGCGAAAACGAACGTTCGCGAAATAAATGAATCCCGGGACACGTAAGCGTAAATTTTACTAATCCTCCGTGAGAGAGTAGAAAATTCGTAATTCGAACTTGTCCGATATCGAGTCGAGTGGGCGAGAGAAAGAAAGAGAGAGAGAGAGAGAGAG